TTTCCTATAAATGAGTGCCCGATCAGTGTCACAGGATTTTTAACATAAGCACAGCAACAGCAGCAAAAATCAGGATCTGCTTCTCTTCTGCAGGGCTCCCTGAGGAACTGTATCTGATGACTCAGACACCTAACTACTTGTTTGTAGTGTTTGTACGCATGAAGCTGTGGGAAATGATAAAAGCTGGTACCTGAGGGTAAAGGAAGAAGAAAATAGAAAGATGACTGATCAAAGCAAATACTTCTGCCAGCTTGATTATAAAAAGGAACAAAACAAACAAACAAAAGTTCTAGGTCACTTGTAACAACACTTATCAAGAGTGACTGACTGGAAATTCATTGCATCATAAAGCAGTCTTCCTAAAGAATAGGCACTATACTGTATTGCCTTTCACACATATGCTCCTCAGTCAAATCTCATTCACCCTGTTTGCAGCCATCAGAATATGTCATCAAATTAGCAGATTCAGGCGGTCCCTTTCCAATTCAAAGGAGAAAAGATTCAATATCAATAATGCAGGTAATGGAAAGATTAGAGCGGAAGGAGTTTCTCTCTGTCTTCACACTGAGCTCACACAGTTGTTAGAGGCATATTCTGCTACCCGTTAAAAATTTTTTCCAGAAAAATGCACTTCAGTGATGCAGGGAACAGTGAACCCATTTCTCTGCTAAGAATTCATGTAGCATAGAGAGACATCATGCAGATGGCCAAAGGAAAACACAAGGACATAGTTGTGCAATGTAAGATTCTTCCATTCAAATACTAATTCCACTGCATCACAAAACAATATCTCAATGGAACTAATAGAAAACAAAGACTGTAGCAATGCCATTTCACAGCCACCCAACAAGATGCTGCTCTTTGCATTTTGACTAACACTGGTGTGGTCATCAACAGCAGATGGACTCAATGGACTGAGGAATGAGTCCATCCTGCACTGTAGGGCATTATCCTCAAGCAGTGGATCCACACAACCAAATCAGTGTCGTTTATTTACCAACAAGCATGCACTGAAGCTGAAAAAAAGGAATGTAACTTGCTGGAATATTTTCCCAGTATGCTTCAACACAAAAAGATACAAAGTTTGAAAGGTCAATCACAAACAGCAAGGAGTTTGGACAATCAAACTCATGAAACACAATCCTCAAAGGATAACCAGACACACTCAGATTTCCACATAGCTTACAAGACCTAGGGAAATGCCTATAAAAAATTATCCTCCTCAGACTTTCTTAAAGGAAAAGAAATTCCTTGATGGAGACACCTAATTTCTGTTACTTCACCTAAAAAGAATTTGCAAGAGAAAGTGAAGTTTCTTGAGGATAAGACAAAAGAAATCCCAAGTAAAATGTATAAATTTGCCAAGTGTTTAAAAATATAATATTAAGGACATGCCAGGAGCTTCTTTGAACCTATAGCATTCTGAGAAGAACAGAGAGTCAGCCTTGAAGTATTAAACGCATCAACATTTTTTTTGTTACTAATGAGTCTGAGAATAGGAAAAAAACATTTTACAGTATAACTGCTACAGAGATAAATAAGCAAACCTGATTTGTTATCTTTGTAGACTGGAGATGTTACAATTTTACATTCACAAGGAAAAAATTATGATTATAGCACAACCTTTAATGTCTGCCTTCACATAATCCCATCTTCTCCCTTCCATTTTCACTTTCTTGTTTCTTGTCATCTCTAGCATGCTGTCATCAAAAACACCACTCTGTGATTAGAAATTTCAATTAATATCAACACTGATATATAGCTGTTGCAATAAAATGTTTTATAACAAGCTGTAGAACCAGTATGGAAAGGGATTTACATTACAATACATTTAGATGGACAAGAAGGGATTTACATCTAGGTATTTTAGTTTCTTACCTTTTTTCTCCCATCTCCCCAGAAGTGAGAATTTGCATCATACATTTCCCTTTTACAAATTCTGTTTGCTGTCAGCACCGTGGAGAAGGACTTGGGGGTCCTGGTGGACAAGAATGTTCCACCTGGTCCTGGACATCAGCCAGCAGTGTGCGTTCACAGCCCGGAAGGCCAACTGTGTTCTGGGCTGCATTTAAAAAGGTGTGGCCAGCAGGGAGAGGGAGGTGATTGTCCCCCTTCTACTGCCAAATCTGCAGTACTGCCTCCAGGCCTGAGGCCCCCAGCACAAGAAAGATGCAGAGATCTTGAAATGAGTCCAGAGGAGGGCCATTAAGAGGGCTGGAGCACCTCTTCTATGAGGAAAGGTTGAGGGAACTGAGCTTGTTTAGCTTGAAGAAGAAAAGGCTCTGGGGAAACCTCATTGTGGCCTTCCAGTACTTGAAGGGAACATATAAACAGGAGGAGGAACGGCTGTTTATGAGGGTGGATAGTGATAGGACAAGGGGGAATGGTCTTAAACTGAGACAGGGGAGGTTTAGGTTGGATATTAGGAGGAAGTTTTTCACCCAGAGGGTGGTGAGGCACTGGAACAGGTTGCCCAAGGAGGTTGTGGATGCCCCATCCCTGGAAGCATTCAAGGCCAGGCTGGATGTGGCTCTGGGCAGCCTGGGCTGCTGGTTGGCGACCCTGCACATAGCAGGGGGTTGGAACTGGATGAGCACTGTGTTCTTTTTCAACCCAGGCCATTCTATGATTCTATTTACTGTTGAATAATAAGAAAATAGGGCTAATGGCAGGCATACAACTCTGCAGTTCACAGTTTTGAAAATCTAATATCTAGAATTAAATTCACTTGTTTAAAAAAAAAAAGTACTATAAATGGCAGAGAAATGGGTTTTCCATGTAGAGGAAGTGTGGAGATGACAAGTGGAATTGTTTCTTCTACAGAAGAGTCATCCCATTGTCTATTTAATTTAGGTACAGGAGAAATCAGATGGAAAAATGACCAAAACGAGCACAGCCTCTATCTTCAGCACAGGAGAATTAGGAGCAAAACAAGCATACAGTCCTGAGTTACTATAAAGGAAGACAGAGAAGAACACAGCAGCAATGCATGCAATAACAGCCCATATTAAACATGTCCAGAACCCAGCGGTCAGTGTTCGAATCTCTGAACTTACCTACAGCTAACCTTCAAGAAATACATGCTGCTTTACCCTTCTTCTCCTATTTAAATTTTACATTCTCTACTTCAATCAAGTTCATTCATTACCCAACAGCTTGGCAAGGACTCCTGCTTCTGCTAAAGAAAGACATACACACACACACACACACCCAACACAAGCCTGCACATAGACTGTTTTCCTCCAAGCCTTTGCAGTTCTGTGAAAATCAGGAATGCAAACACCTACACTTCACAAGAGACACAGCTATAATGTTTTCGATCATTTGCAACCAGTGTGTACAAATACAACTCATCAATACTCACTGACAAAATTATCGCCTGTGACTATCTCTGCTCTCTGAATCATAACGTAAGAATTATCCTCCCACATCTAAAAGTAACAGATTAATACAGTACTCACTGCATCTTTTCTAAGTGCAATTTCTTTTCTCTTGTTTTTGTTTTTTAGTTTTTTGAGGGTTTTCTTCCTTATCTGACTTCTCTACGTGCTCACCACACTATCTTCTTACGTAAACCGCCAATAGTTACCTTACTGGTTTGGAGTATGCAGCTACTGATTAAAACAGCAGTGAGGGGTTCTTGTGTGTTTGTCTGTGGTGTGTTTTTTTTTGTTTGTTTTTTTGTTTTTTTTTCTGTTGTTACTGTTTCTTTAAAAAAGAAAAATAATCAGTGCTATTAACATACACTAGAAATCTGAAACACATGGCATCTTGTTCCGCGACCACCAACAAATAACAAGCTATGAAAGATGTTCTATTACTGTATACACTGGAGAGCACTGTTCCCTGACATGTTCTGGGAACAAATTAAGTAGCTTTCTCTTGGTTTGAACAGAGATTATTTTCTATTGACTGTTCAGAGGAGTTGTGTTCCTTTTTTCAAGGACAGTTATCAAAACCTTCACAGTGAAAGAAAGTCAGTCATATTTCTCTCCAATTTCCTTTTTCCCCTCAAGCATAGAGTTGCCTATATCTGATATATATTTTATTCCCAATAAAGAAACAGGTATTCAACAAAATGACAGTGGTGGGGAAAATTGCTTACAGGGCTTTGCAAAAAATGATGTGGTTAAGTAGTTGTATCATTTCCTATTATGAGACAGCACTTTTCTCACATAGGATTGGGAAGGTAGAGATGTGATTTATTTGCAACCTTTTCTATTTTCATGACATGGACACTGTAAATAAAGCAGGCTTTGCATGAGAGGCTGTTGGCAAAGCAAAATTTCTTAAAGGAATGACATCTTCCATAATGCATTACAAAGTGATGTAAGCCCTGAATAAAAATACACTATCACAATTTAGGAATAACAATACAGTGTATTATTTGAGACCTTAATGGTAATGAGATTTAGCATTTAGAATGAAGAATTAGGAAATGATATTTACAAATTCTTTTCCTTACTACTGACTTTCTCCTTACTCACAGTATATGTGGGCTCATTTTAAAAGACAGTAAACTTAATGCACACTCATGTGTAATTCCAGGAAAGACATTCATCTCCAGTCGATATTCTCTATTCTATCAGAAATAGAGTTAGTTCCGTTGTATTTACCTGGATAATTATGTGTAAATGTGTTATACCGACAAATGAAAACATAGCTGATAGGCAGTCTGCTAGCACATACATGTAATAGGCTTAAGAATTAAGAAGGGCTATTACCTAAAGTTGTATTAAAAATGATGATTGAATTGAATTCTGTTCCACCAGAAATCAAATACCTAGTGAGGCCTGGAAACATCAGACACAATTACAAACTCTGTTATCTTTTTTTAGAAGGAAGTTTTTCACTCGGAGGGTGGTGAGGCACTGGAACAGGTTGCCCAAAGAGGTTGTGGATGCCCCCCACCCCTGCAGGCATTCAAGGCCAGGCTGGATGTGGCTCTGGGCAGCCCGGGCTGCTGGTTGCTGACCTGCACATAGCAGGGGGTTGGAACTAGATGATCGTTGTGGTCCTTTTCAACCAAGGCCATTCTATGATTCTATGATCTATTTGACAGGTGAGTGCTGCTGAAATACAAGACCAAGAGAGAACTCAGAGGCAAAAAAAGTATCTAGTCTTCATGTGCTGAATAGAATAGAAAGCAAAAGAGCAAAGATTCCTACCATCGTTTGAAGAGTCAAGAATTTTACATGGTTTCCAAGTTTGTTGATGGATCCTATCAGTAGCAGCAACACGTATGTAGAAATCAGTAGTGACTGTCTTAAAAACCAATGAAGTTAATTCAATTATTTTGCTACAGACTTCTGTGAAATGAAACAAAGCTCTTGCAAATGGGCTGATGATGTTAACAGTAGCAGCATGCTTTCCATGACTTATGCACAAAGGATAGCTTTGCTGCCCTAAGACATTTTCAACTGGAGATCTTATCCAAAACTTCCTACCTTGCTAGTGCTTGTGTTGACAGCAACAGGATTTCAAATGTCTGATCATGTCCCAAGTGCAGGTCTCAGATAAAGCAGTGCTATCATAGTTTAGGCTTTTTGTGACTTTTTTTTTTTTACTTGCCTCAGTGATATGTACTGTAAACTGAATGAGTATTTGCAAAAGATATAAATTTTGGCACCTGTTCCTCTTTTAAATTACTATTTTCTCCCTCAGTCTGTAAAGGAAGTTTAAAAGAAGCAAGGCAAGCACAACGGAAACAACATAAAGGGTTGAGCACTACAGAGTCCAGTAGCATTTCCCATTGAGCAGACAGGCATTAAACATCTGGTGATATTTCCCACAGCCAAACGCTACCAGCAGCAGCTGTCTGCCCTGGCCAGTGGCAGCACTCTGGGACAGGACACACCACATGCCAACAAGCACCGGTTCGCTGCCCCCTAACACGTTTGTCCATAAGCAGCTTTTATCCCATCTGGGGTGCACCCCACAGTAACACAAGTGTGGGGTCTGAAAAGCCGTGGGGTTCTTTTTTCCCTTGTTGTTAGTTCAGTATTGCTATTAACGTCCTTCAGAGCAGACGTCAGTAGAAGGAGGTAAGCGTCCACCCCACACGAAGGCAGTACTGAGGAACCTTCTGGAAGGACAGACAGTTCTAGAAACCCCCACCAACACCCCAGGGTGACTGAGCCACGCACAGCCAACACTTGCATTGGAAACACCTGTGACGGGAAATCACGCACCACGCACCTCTGGGGCAACACCAGGCCATTCTGAGAGAAACGTAGGTACCGTCACGACACCTGTGAGGAGGGAGCCTCAGAAGCAGCTCTGATTACCTTCGTTGGAGGTGCTCAGGCAGCAGCCCGCCATCCGCCTCCGCCGCCGCCGCCACCCGCTCCGCCTCGCGCCCCTGCCGGTGCGGCACTTCCCGCCCGCGCGCCATTTGTTCTTAAAGCGGCCACACGGGGGCGGCCAGGTGCAGAAAATGGCGGTGTTTGCTACGGAGTGAAGCTAGTAAACCGTGAAGGGAGAAAAAAAAAAATCACTGCAGTTTTAATTTAGAGAAGTTTGTTAGAGAAAAAAAGGAGCTCGTGGGAGGAAAGTATGAAAAGGTTTTAGAGCGATGAAGACAAAGTTCTGCGTAAAATCTGATTCTCAGCCAGCGTGGCAGCTGTGAGCAGCGGTGACCTTCTGAGGAGAATTTCTCTGCTGCGAAGAAGGAGGCACTGCTTTGTGCAGAGAGAAAACTTTATCAACAAAGCCTAGAACTTTGATCTTGTCCAGAAAAGACAGTGGACGAATGGCAGTAAGCCTCCTTGAGACATCTGATGAGGGCTGGGATGCCCGCAGAGCTCGGGCAGGAAGGAGCTCTCCCACCTGTGAGCGCCCCCAGCTGCACGCAGCCAAATGCCGCCTGTGTCTGGCCAGTGCCTCAGGGCTCGTCCAGCACAGGTGCTATGGGAGCTCTGAAAATTGTGGCCTTGTGTTTTGGATCTAGATGTAGAATTGGTGGTACGTTTCTATGACTGTTGCTTTGTTTAGATCTCAGTTTTGCTGAATGCCCATCTCAGTGGGTTGACAGATATTCTAGGAGGAGATGAAACTCAGGAGGATGACAGAAAACATGCAAGGGAGGCTGGCGTGGCTGATTGTGCTTTATCATAATGGCCTTTCCTCCTGCACAGCCAAGATAACGCGTGTGCCTGCTGCTCAGAGACCACTCACTGCAGCTGTAACATTACACAGGTAAGTGTTTATTGACCATAGTGTCAAAATATAAAGATTCTTTCCAGGTACTGATATCCTTGATCCCAAACACCTAACTGCTAAAGATGATAGGAAAGATGCCAGTAATGATTTCAGTTCATCAAATTTCTATAATACCATCCAGCAAACAGCTTGGAGAGAAAGAAAAAAAAAAACAAACACCATGCTTTCTGCTACTTTGACTGGGTAATTTGTTAAGTTCATCCTTCAGTGCTGACTCTTGGATGCTGCAGTTAGATAATTTGCAAATTCAGTTTTTGTTCATGAGCTTTCAATTTGCCTTTGACAAGCAAAACCATTCACTGATTAAAACAAGACTCAAGGAGATCTGAGCTCAAAAGGTTTAATGTGTCACTGTTCTCTGGTACTCCTAATTGTTCTGCAGAAAACTATGATGTGCATGATTGTTTTTTTTAAAGAAAAAATTAATGTTTTGATTATGTTTTGTCAGTACCTCATCCCATCCACCTCTTACAACAGGGGAACATTACTACTTGCTCCCAATATTTTCTTACATGTCCTGCTCATAGATTTGATAGTTTGACATGTGTCAATGTGAGACTCTTGTCAGTATTTATTTACTGATGTGAAAGACGGGGTTATAAAATCAGCTACTCATTACAATGCAAAATTTGTGTGCAAGGTGTGATGACTAGCTCAGTTTATCTAGAGTGCTGCAGTTTTTGCTCCTTGTTGAATCACACCCATTAGTAATTTGGTAGTATTTCAAAAAGTTTGTTATGTGAGAATTCTCAGTAGAGACTCAAATTCTCAGAATCTTCCCTTTGCAAAGTTGTACTGCTTGTGTGAACCTTGACTGCTTTTTAACAGCAGTATTCATAGATTTTTGTTGTTGTTGTTGTTTCCTAGGCAACCACTCCAGGTTCCCCTCAGAGCTCTTGTTTTTTGTTCCATGATTAAGATTTAGGTGCTGCCTTTGGCTGATCTTACTTGTGGGAGTAGGAAGTAGTACTAATTTTCACAGGTGTGATATTGATTAACATTTTATTTTCCCAAACAATATTAATTTTAGCATTTAAAAAGGATGACGGGATTACATGAATATTAATTTTGCTAAATTATAGTTTCAGTTTATAGTTACAGTTTTCTCAAGGCAATTTTAATTTACACAACAGACTGATTGAATTCTACTAGTTTTGCTTTTCTCTATTTTTATGCAGACCAGCTGTAATTCAAATATGCTTCTCCTGTCCTGAGCACTACTACGGACCTTTTTCAGTTACTTCATGGTGTATTCTTGGTTTGTGACTAATGTTTAACTCAAATATAAATGGCAAATATGTTGCTGTTTACTGTGACTACCATAAAGACCGTAATAGCTACTACCTGTCTTCTCTTGTCTTGGTCTTTGTGTAAGATGAATAAATTGCACCTGAGGCCAAATTTTACTCAATAGGTATGATGGAAGGAGGGTTACCGTGGTTCTAGGTGAACATTGTGAGCGCCTCTCTTATCTTCTTGAAACAGATGCTTTACTTCAGCACACAGATAATCCCAAATTGAAATGATTCTAAAACTTAGAAGAGGAACATGCATGAAAAAAAAAGATGAAAATATGAAAACATTAACTTACAGTTCCATTTTAGCTTAAATGATTCCCTCCATGGGAGGGAGGGGAACCCACAACCTTAAGAACCTTGTAGTCTTAGTGAGGTACAAAATTAGGAGCTCAAGTGGAACTAAGATCTGGCCAAACAAATATGGAATCTCCATATCTTTGCATACAAAAATTACATGATGTTGTCTCTCCAAGTACTTACTGTATTAAAATATTTTAAAAAGACAGAAATTTGCTTTACAAGAAAAAAAAAAGAACAAATCTTCATTGGCATGAAGATAGCATTCCTAATATAGCACAAAATCTTACAGGAAAATGCATATTTGATTCACATTTCACAATATATCAAAAGTTTTTTTTTAGAAAAGGCATACTTTTTCTAGTATTTTTAGCATTTTTTTTTTCAACATGTTTGTGAAGCGTTTGAATCTTACAGAATTTATGCTTATGTTGAATGCATCTGTTACAATTTCTGAAAACATCTCAAGACTAAGTACACTACTTCGCTTAATATGAAAAGCACAAAATGCCTTTTTGTATGTATGAAAATACAAGAATCTCAGGCAGAAACCATTACATGTGGATTTCACCAATACAATAAACCATTGAGCTCATTTTTAGAAATCACAGTCAATAACTATTACTGTGTTAAATATGTTCGTAAGGAGAATACAAAAATGCATGAAACATAAGTAGAAATTCCTGGTTCTTTTTTTATTATTATTATTTTTATAAATATAGTTCTCCTTGGGAAAGAACACTTATTTCTTACACTGAAGGGAAGCTTCAGGAAATTTATGAAAGTTTTCAAGTACAACTCAAAATCTGAATAATATCTGAATTCACTACTTGGGTAAGATCTTTTTTTGAAGCATTTAGTGTATCTTTTAAAAAAATCACTTGAAGAATAATGGGAGACAATGAAACATAGTTCTACTGATTGAAAGTAGTTCTGGATCATGAGCTCTTCTGTAAATATTGAACTAAGTACTCAATAGGCTTTCCATTTGTATACTGTTTTAATATATACACATATTTTTTACAATAGCACTTCCAGTTACCTTGTTTTCTTGGGTGACTTCTTTTGGGGGGAACATTATGCACAATCAGTCAGCTTTAAATGTTTCAGATTTGCTTCTAAAACCTTTCTTTCATGCTAAAAATCCTCTGTAATATATTGCACCACTTTACAAATGGGAATCTCATACTAGACTTTTATGTACCTATGTAAATTGCTTTAATTTATTCCAGTGGCCACTGTGCTCAAACAGTATGACTGCTGAATGAACAACGTTTCTCACTGAATTACTTTTTTATGCTGTTCTTGTCTACTGCCATGCAATGCAACATATGACCACCTTAAAGAAGTGAGGTGTGTTAAACTTGAAACATGATCTGATTCCTAAGGATCCTTGGAAATTCCTTGGAAATCCTTTTCACCGATTGCCTACTGAAGGAAGAAATACTTGCACAGGTTTCATTTGAAGCCTGAATGTGTCTTTGTAAGGCAGAAGTCCATTACCAAAAAAATAAAAAATAAAAAAAAGAAATAAAACAAGTTTAAAAAATGTTTGCTTCCATAAGAATGAAGATAAATCTGAACAATCATTAGTAATACCTAAAAATGCTAGTAAAATAGTAGAAGGAAAAAGAACTACGGGACCTACAGGACTTCTATACTTCAGGAAATAGACTCATAATGATGTTTGCTTTTATTTCTGTCCTTCAACATATCTTCCCTTAAGAGGCTTCTGATAACAAATGAGAAAATCATATGAGAAACAACTATGGCTTCCCCACTTGCCATTCTAACTGAATATTCCTGTAAAGTTCAAGCTTACTCTTAAGTATCTCAGTTTTCAGGAGGTCAAAGCCAGGGTCTTCTTGCTCTCTATCCATGAAAATTTGCTTTTTCCTTTAGAGTAAGAGAAGGTAAATTGGGATACAAGTTCCTAATGAATAAAGAGGAAGGTGTGAATGACCTACGTTATTCATGATATTTTCCATAAAATTCCTTCCTACAGGAGAAGTCTGATAGCATTAGGTCTCTGATGTGAAAGTCAGAGCCAATAAGGAGCAGAGAAGTTGAATAATTGTTCTTCTCTGTAACAGGCTATTGGACACTACGCAGCTTTCAGACTTCTCCCCCTAAAATTTGACTCTCATACTCATTCTATTTCAGTAAGTCAAGACTTGTGGAAAACAAGAATCTTGGTACAACAGAGATACAATATAACATGCCATTTCTTTTATATTGGGAATGTTAGAAAACTTACCTGTGTACAAGGTAACTGCTCTCTTTAGTATGCAGCTAAGCTTTTGACTCCACTATGTGACACTAGGTTAAAATATGCTGTTTTTCTCCAGGTAATAACCTGACTTGAGAACAATTGTTATTGATTGTAGTGTGATAGTAATACATAATTAGTAATTATAAAATAATTAGTAATACACAGGCACGTTCCTGTTGCTCTATTCACTTGTCCTTCTTAAGAGCAATTTATTAACTGTTTGAGGAATGTTTTCAAACAGATTAGGTTAAAAACAGCATTTCTGCCTATGGCAGTCATTTACCAAACAAATACCAATTACATTTCAGTTCAAAATCCTGCATCTGAGTTTCAGTATCAGATCTCTGTAGGGAAAAGCATTAAATTAAAAAGTTGAGGGATTTTTGGATGGAACAGGGATAGAATCTAGAGACAAAGTACAATATACTGAATGATAAGAGATACAATTGCTCTTGCTACTGTTATCCCAGTATGATATTAGCATTATAGATATTAGTAAGACATGGTATTAGCATTTGCATGAGTTTTATAGCATATAGTAATAATTGATCCACACTACATTGTCCTCAAACCTAACTGATGAGATTACATAAATACTAAAGCTAGCTTCCGTCACTGTGTGCTCTGAAGGAAAGATAGTAGATGTGGTAATTTTTTGTTTTCAGCTGAAAATTTCATATTTTTTCTCTCAGTTGTCTCATATCTTATGTTAAGGTTCCAAAGGGCAATCCCGAACTTCTTACAGCCCAGGAACTCCAGGTTAAAGAACTGGACTCCCTGAATATTTAAAGTAATTGGAGGAAGTGGATCAAAAGTTAAAAAACAATTTTTCTCAAACTTGTAATTCAAGAATCCATTCTGTTTTCTTCTTTACTTTTCTATTCTATTATTTTAAGCATGTTCTTACATTGGCCTTATCAACATGCTGCCTGATTACATTTCTGAGTTGTGTTCTATTCTGGTCTTGTTCTCTCAAAATAAGTTATTTGTGTTCTTGCATGTAATTTGGGAATTTTGTTTTATGATAGAAAGAGGTATTTGTATTTTGAGGTTCTACACTTAAACTTCAGAGACCTGCTGTTCCACAGTTCTTGGTCTCCAAGAACTGTCAGTCTGTCTCCCCAAAATGACAAGTGTGTGCCTAACACCATAATCTTTTGTCTTAAGTTTGTATCCAAAGCACTGATCTCATGACCAACTTTCAGAATTGACTTAAAACTTTACAGGGAACTTGTTCTCATCTCCCTGTGGTGGTTTCACTTTGATAGACAGCTAAGTTATGCCATGATGATCACTTAATCCCCCACCTAAATAAGAATAAGAGGAGAAAATATGGTGAATAAAGGCTTTTATCTCATACTTAAAGATAAAGAGAAATATAATTAAAAGTAAAGTAAGTAAAAACATGCAGAAGCAATGGGAGAAAACAAATATTCTCTACTTCACATCAGCAAGTGTTGTTCAGCTTCAGAAGCAGGCCTTAATACATGCAGCAGTTGTTCAAGAAGGCACTTCATAAATTATAAAATACTTCTATATGGGCAGAGATGTCTTTCTTTTGAAACTGTTTCAAAGTCAGCTCACAACTGAATGCAAACTGAAGATTTCACAGAGAATTAATCTATGACCACGGATGAGCAGAATACTTTCACAGATGGTTGTGAGACAGCTGCCTCCTCCCTACTGATTGCATAGATGTTTCAGTTATTAATGCCTCCAACACCACTTCGTTATACACAGACCAAAAGTGGGTCAAGGACATACTGAAGAACTGTAAAAGTGAAATCAGTGTTTGAGACAAATAAACGGACTACTTGATTTGGCAAAGTCACTGTCAATATATAAATAAATGAAAACTTTATTTGTGCAGCAGAATTCCATGCTTTAACAAGAACAGACCACGAGCAGAGGGTGAGTTTCTAATTAAGAGAGAATTGCTATGGTAACCAAAGGTGGTCACACATAACTGAGTGTGAAACCACATAAGGCTTCTTGACAGAGATGTCTGCATATATTATCTAGCACATTTTCTGTTTCTTAAATAGCATTACATTGTCAGATCAGTCAATATTTTCCACATTTTATGTGCCCCCTATTTAGCAACCAAAAATGCATCTCTGTGGGCTTCAGTGACAATTGCAGCTCTTCAGCACCCTTTTTATGGCCAAGGCAGCAGAAGTCTAGATGCAACTCCCTCTAGAACTAACAAGCAACAGGAGAGAATGATATTTACAGTGTTTGTCTGAGACTGAAGGAGTCTCTGTTGGTCAAATGATGTCATAGATGTCTATGGGTAAAGACTGGCTTGAAGTGAGTATTCTCAGCAAGCTTACCTTTGATCATGGTTCAAGTGGGATACCTGATTGTGTTTCTTAAATGAACTGAAAGGTGCAGAGAAGCAACATTCAAGGGCTGCTCCAAAAGTAAAGCTTCATATTTTACTATGTTGGTCCGTGACAGCAGAAGCAGCTACTGGTAGGCTAAATCGTCCCACCAACATTTCATTACCTTTTATTACTGTGTGACAGATAGCAGTTGAGGGGCAATCTGACAGAATGGTGTCTGGTGAGGAAGTGAATATAAAGCAAAGGTGTCTTTTGTGGTTTTCTCAGGGCAGAATGGATTCAGAAACAGGGAAGATATATAGAACAACTTCTTATGATTTCCACTAATGCAACTGAGAGAAGCTCTGAGGCTTGATTCTGTTAAAAACATACTCAGGGTCTTAGATTACCCTTTTTCAAGATACCTCATACTAGCAGTAGTACTCAAGATGCATTGTACTGAAGTTTGTCTTCCAAGCCAGGTACTATGTTGACATAAACTTAGCACTAAATCTGAGTTAATGTATATGATTTGTACCTTTAAATGACATACTAGCTAATCATTCGTCTCTGCATAGCTGAAGTGACTGCTCACCTACACTGACAGTGCCAACTGTATATACGTTACAGCATTAAGGAGTCAGGAAAAATGTCTGACTGAAAATAAGATAAGTGAAAACTCTCAGTCAGTACTGCACTGCCAATCCAGTTATACTTTGCTGTTTCTGCTTGTCCATATTTTCCATTAATTACTTATCAGCAGGGGTTTGCATGAAGTAATGTGGTCAAAGAAGTTTTCATTTACTAAGGAAAAGCAGAGTATCATATTCTACTTGTCATGCAGAGAGGAAAACTTTGCCCATGCTGATTAAGTACAGCAGTTGACAACAGATGTTATTTGTTAATTACTGACATATCCAGAGGGCCCTATGGCTTAACAGAATGCCTAAAAGATACATTATTCACTTTGTTACATCTCATCATGGAACATAGGGTGGCAGGTTGATGTAGTACCGTAGTACTGTTTTTTCTTTTAAATATATTTCTACACTCCTTTTGCTTTCTTTTGTTTTCCCTTTTTTTCTGATATGCAATTATTGTGTTTTCTGATATAGTAAAATTATAGAGATACTGATGCATCATTTGCCAATTCATACTTTTTTTTTAAAACTCTTAAAAAATATCAGCTTCTTTAACTGCTAATCATGTCTAATATATTGTTTGAAATTATAGCATTCACTGCATCTTATCAACTGCTTGAAGCTACACATACCACTGGATGGACAAAACTGTGTTTGTCGAAAGCCTACTGGAGAATTTGAGCTGCTTCAAGATAAATCCAAGTGAATAGCTAAAAATGTATGCTGCACAGGATTAACATGTATCTAATGCTTCCATATGAGAAACACAGCAGTTTAAAGAGTATGGTACAAAGAACATACAGATTTTTTTGTGTAAGTGTATCTCTACACCTGTCTGTGTCCATGACAGTGGAACAGCAGGCTCAGCAGCCCAAAAAGGGGAAGAGGGAAAGAAAAAAAAAAAAAACAGCAGCAACAAACAGATAGAGGAGTATTAATTTACTAATTATAGTAGCAGAAACACAAGTTAATTGGGTTTGGAGCTAATAAATGAAATAAAATGAGAGACTTTCTGAAAACTTCTGAAACTCTGATTTGTCAGGGAGCATATAGAGAAACAGAAAAGCAAAGTTTTTTGGGAGCTGTAGTACATTTATTCTGAGACTCCCAGTGCACTACATGATGTGATGATGTGGAATACTGATAACAAAAATCATAAAACCACAACAGTATGTGGTCTTATAGTCAAGAAAGAGACTTGCTTGAGTATATCAGTGGTGACAAGATTCATATTTCTGATGAAAATATGAGATATTATTAACTCTTAACTTACATAACACATGAAATTGGGAACCTTAATATTCATAAATTAGTTTCCTACTGGAAATTGAAATGTTGAAACTGTCACTGAACTTCACACACACACCGAAGACTTAATTCATGATGAATTAGCTCTTGGAAAAATACGGAGGCAGATTTTATATGTATGTGTATGTATATATATATATATATATATATATGTATGTATTCACACACACACACACACACACAAATACAGATAATATTACCATGGTTAACTCTTTGCTTTCTGAGTTATCCCAACCATTAAATATATATATATTTTTTTTACAAAAAGCTCTATTATATAAAAGTGAAATCTTACCAAAACAATAATTCCCAATGAAAGGCCTTGGATTTGACAGCTCTGGTATATGCAAGTTGGAATTATTATAAAGAAGCTGATCTTATGCCAAGTTGATGACCTGGAACTCAGACATTGAGAAAAACAAACATTTATTGTGTACTGAATGTGTGCAAACAGCACCAGGAATAAAATGAACTACAAAAATATTTTTATTTAAATAATGTAATAGTGACAGTCAGCTGAAGCACTATTTATCTGGCTCTTAGAAAGCACTGTTTATCTGGCTCTTAAAAGATACCCTACCAAAGATTTTAAAAGATTTGGATGTCAAAACATCAGTTTGGAGTTGTCTTTATTTATTATTATTATTTTTTTTTTGAATGCAACTAATTAGATTTCCATGTAGCAATTTTGTCTTGAAATTTTTTAGTTTAATTAATCAGCAAACTGTCTTGTGAGTAGAAGAATTAACTAACACTATGTTGTTTTTGTTAGGTGGAAATTGATTAAATGTACACCACAACTTTAATTTAAAGCTATCCTTCACAGGAATAAGCAGCAGCCAAATCCAGCAGCTTGTTTTCATGTGACATGGAAGCATCTGACATTGTGAATTGCCAAATGCATCATTTCTCAATAAAATAAAGAGCACAGGAATAGAATCAGAATAATTTGAGTTAGAAGAGACATTTAAAGGTCATCTAGTCCAACTCACCTACAATCAACAAGGACATCTACAGGCACCCCCTGCTCTGCCAATAAATACTCCTTCTAATAAGGTGACATAAGACTTCAACAAATTAGTAATATATGTATATAATTCTACAAACTCTGAGGAAAAAATGAACAAATCACAGAAGTGTTTACAAAACAGCTGAAAAGGCCAAATAAGATGTAAACATGCTCTGAAAGACATTTTTTATTTTCATCTTGATAAAGTAGTATATTTCAACCAAATAACAACAAAATTACCACAGAATATTAAAAAAATGCAAGAAAATATTTAGAAAATTATATATATACATATTTTCTTAAAAATTCTCTAATGTAAACATTAGCATAACAAGTTAAAATAGTATTACAGTTTATTAATACTTAAGTGAGTGCTGTACATATATATGCTTTAGAATTAATACAATCCTTTTTACAGTTTAATAGGAACACCAAGATTTCTCCTCCAAATCAAAAGGGAAATCAAGCTTCTTCACTTTCTTGCAGGTTTGGTCCCATACACAAGATATTTATCTCAGTTTTCAGGAAAAATGAAAATGCAGCCTTTCAGAATTTATATATTCAATCAAATTTGCATTCCTGTGATTTTTAGTGTCCTAAATTGTTGACACTCTGCTGAAGAGAACAATTGCTACAGTAACTTCTGTAATGACCACAGACATCAGCTTCCAAATCTTGTTAAGCAAACTGATTCCTCCTACATGGCAGTGCAATATATTTGTTTAGATGGTGCAAAGATATATCTACATATTGTAAAATCCTGATATTTGCAGCAATTTGTAAATTTGGAAAATTCCCTTCTAAACATTTCAGTGGTGTTTTCTAGTTTAAATTCATGCAATTATTAAACAAAAGCTTGCCATTATCATTAATTAGAAGTATCTCTTACTTTTAAAAAGAGCTTTTTTAAACAACTGATGTTATCTATAATTGGACAATAAAAGTACAGTTAGTACAGAGTAAGATATCTGCAAGAAATAAATGAAATGTACAATATTGGAGCAAGTTTTTCATCTTCTATTCAATATGTGAAATAGAAAGCAAGTTAACTGATATTTGTATAATTTGTATATGTAATTTCATACATTAAAATGATTCTTTCAATACATAATACTAAGAAACTACTAAAAGGGCTAAATATTCCATTAAATTAATATTCAAGGTTGTAATACAACACATTGACTGAAATATATCCTAACATACAGAAAAGGAGAAAAAACTTCTTTCTTGAGTTTCTATTCTTTTTAAGCAACTGCTCCACAGATTTCTCTTGGGCATTATAAGCAGATAACTGTATTTCTATCCACAGGTATAGATTATGTGTCCTCAGAATTACTAGACACTGGATGAAAAATGTTTTGACATCACGGGTGTTGTGAAGTGTGAGGGTTGTACCTTTGAAATGGCAAACTTACAGCAGAACCGTGATCCTTGTCTGCTTTGAAACAAAGAGAATTATATCCATATTGGAAAGTATTAATAACTGATTCTGTTAACAAAACATCATCTTCTTAAATCATTAGTATGTCCTGATGAACAGTATCATTAGTTCAGTTGGAGCTCACTGAGTCTTACTTATTAGCTTGCTGCTCTGAGTCACTCAACTCCATTTGTTAGCAGGTTCTCACAAATTAATTTAACAGTTACCATGCTGACACAGACATGCCAATATACACATTGTTTTATAAAATAAAACAATTTTTCTAACAAAAATACACCTTAGCACAATTACATCACAATTTTGAGCCAATGGTCTTTAATACCGTTATGTCCTTTAAGTACTTGTATTAATTCAATCATGATGGCTTAAAACTTAAAGCAGATTCTATAAGATAGTACAATTTAATTTCAGCTACCACATCAACAATATATTCCAACAAAAAGTAATGGGCTTTGAGCTTATTAATCTTTTTAAGAATGTGACTTCAAGAATGTATCAATGTAACACTTTATAACTACACCAATATCTTGTCTCATTTAAACCTTGGAAATTTATTTTTATTCTTGAAAAACTTGATTTAATGGAAAAAGCAAGGTCAGTATACTGCATTCTCTACAGTGACTAACAATCTCTAAATAAATGAAATTCTGAAAACACACGGTCAATATTTAAGGAATTAATACTGATAGATGATCGCATTTACAGAACATCTATGTCTTGTCTCCCTTGATTTTCTTAGAAAATTGTTCCTTTTGTGAGTGGCAGGACAGCAGCATTAAAATTAAAAAGTAATGCCATTTTATTTTGAATAGACTCTAAAGGTTGCAGATGAGCAGCCCTACTAACCTAGTATATCTAAAGATAAAATGAGAATGAAATGGAAATGATACTTCAAATTTCTAAACACCACACTTTAGCCTAAAGCTTGAAAGAACAACTGCTGGGATCAGACTGGCCTGAGACTGTATTGTGTGTTCACAGAGATGTCCAGAGCAGCCAGAAAGACCTGGTTGAACCCATAAACTCATTGTGCAGCAGCCACAGATTAGATCTAAGGATTTAAGAGCACTCAGCTATTATAAAAATATAAAAAATGATAACTATATGCTACAGAAATGACAATTACACACATGGAATTAGGTGACACAAGAGAAACTGGTACAATCACCCAGTTGATAGAATCTTTGCTGCAGTTGCAGCTATTTTACATGAACAATATATTGGAATTCTTAATGCCAGCAAGTCATCTTTTGTTAACTGTCATTCCTGTTCTTGATGAATAAAAAAAAAAAAAAGGATTTATGACAGAGTTGTAATTTTATAAAAGACAGAGCATCTTAGAATGTTCTGAGATACTAAAAATTTGGGCATTCATGTTCTCAGGTATCTCTTTACAGTCATGCAAGTATTGCCTTTCCAAAGTATCCAAGCGAGGCGGAAATCTGACTTGTGAAGAAAGACTTAATTAAATTATCTTCTGAGATCAGATAAGCCACAGATGAGTATTTAAATGGATTAGTACTGCACCCACTACACTACCTCATATCACAAACACTATTTGCAGGCTGTAATCTTAGCAGCAGACAATTCAGGTGAAGTTAATAAAGAACAAATTGTACGTAGTAAACAAGTTCAGAATTTTTATGTAATCTAAATACATTAAAAATTAAAAGAACTAGAACAGGAATAATTTTAAGAGTCAAATGGGAGACAAAAAAATTCCTCCTTAGCAACTAGAAAAAATTAAATTTGGATTGTGCAAATTGAGTTATCTTACCATTTGCAACTTTCTGAACAAGAAGTCCTTTAATTTGTGAATTATTTCCTGAAAACAAAAACAGCTTCAAAGGACGAACAGATACATTACAAAGGATTCCAAATCATGCTTTCGTTCAGATTTACTTGCAATTCATTGTTAATGGATGTGTGTCGTATTTCTACTAACCAAGTCTCTGCTTTCAGAAAAGTAAATTTAGATTTGTTTCAGAGTGGGACCACCATTACAGCTGCTTTTCCCTTCCAATGAAGGCAAAGCTTACCCTGCCAGCATTGCATCAAACTGAAGAGTTTGAAAAGGTTTTGGTTGACTTGCTACTGGCTTTTTTTCCTTCTTCAGTAAGTATTTCAGTTACACAAAACACCAACAGTAATTCATCTTTTAATTAAAAAAAAAAAAAAAAAAAGGCTATTTCCCAAGCTGCACTTTCAGATTTTGTATTTTGATCCAGCCCACAGGCATTACTTGCTGTTTGTAAAGTATTGATGTAAAGACTCTTATTAATCATCAACGTGACTTTTTTTTTTTCTGCAGGGTAACATTAGATTTCAGTATCTACTGATGTGAGAATAAAATTAATAGATACTAAAATGACAAGATACACAAATTTAAATTAACATTATTAAAAAACAAAACTTCAGAGAACAAGGATGTTCTTACACAAAGGAAAACCAGAATACAACTGACAGAAAATCTGGATGTACACTGCTTAAACTTAATGAAGAAAATAGTTAACACACAATTGACTGCCTATAGCAGAGCAACTAATGGATACTGAACTGGATTCCAGTTAATCCTTGTCTGAACTTCCATCACTTGTAATAATTCTTTTTCTTTTTTTTTTTTTTTTTAGTTATTCTTACAGTATTACCATAGCAGAATACTGTTCGGTGACAGATGATTGGTAACAGGCACTTTTCGTTACAGGTAATTCTTAATTATCACTATGTGAAGTGTTCTACAAATGAAGAGTGCTAATTCCAAATTCACACTTAATGATGTGGGACTGCTCTGTAGCAACAGTGACAAGCTAATAACAAAATATAATCCAAGACTTGAAAACACTATTTTGTACCCTGCTGATTTTGTGGTGGCTTGCAGGAATTAATAATATTGCACCCAGCCTTAAATCAAGAGTGAAATTTCACTAGAAAATTATGATATCTGATTTTAAAGAATTACTTGCTACAAATGAAATCTATTGAAAATACCAAGCTAGAAACATAGAAAAGCTGTTTTTCCACCTGTACCATTTTCCCCTTGTCATCTACTTTGTCAAGTTTTTAAAAAACCCAATAATAATTTACAAAAAAAACACAAAACAGTTTTCCGACTCTTCCTATTTACAAAAGGTTATAAATTAGTGAGGTCATTTTAAGCACATTTTACTGACATAAAAAGTAGTGATAAACATAGCTGTTCTTTCAAGGAGAATTATTGTGACATAATACTCATGTCTGAACCAGAAAAATGAACATGTGCAAAGGAAGACAACAACATAAACAAGGAATTTGCTTGAACAGAACAAAGGAGAATATGTGCACTGAAGCTTCACAAAACAAAGGAAATGCTTACAAGTGTGATAGCCCTAGTGAAGAGCCCTCATTCTTTCTGAGAAAGTGATTACTGACTTCTAAAGAACTTAGTCAGGATATGACCCTTAGTAATGAATGTCTTTTTCAGGATTTAAGTTGATGCAGCTGTAGTCTCTTCAGGAGCTTAAATTATAAATACAAGCTAGGAAGGAATCACAGAGCAACTTAAAGTACATAGTGCCAGTACTCAGAATTAGAAAAAGGGTCAAAGATCACCGCTTTGAGGTTCCAGACTTCGTGGCTCTCTTTGATGGCTGCGAGACAGTTTTGGGAAGCGTGTAGTCACTCTCAAGCAACTGTTTTTGCTTACTGCTTCTCCAGAAGGTGGAATATCACTAGGAAGAAAATAAAGGCAGTGGTAACTAGTTTTTTATAAGTTATATACAAATTATTCTGTCATAATTTTGAACATGAAAAAAGCAGATGTTATGACTGCCTGACACATGACCGAGAAGTACAGCACACATCTTCAGCTACACAGAACTGCATTTTTTCTACAGGTATCTCACTTCAATTTACAAATGGGCTCTTTCAGTAATGAGAACTGGTAGAACTTCCAATTCTTCATGAAAGGTTGCAAATTACAAGATAAAGCGTTGAGCTGCAGTTTGGAAATGGTGAAATAAGCATTTTGAAGTGATAGAAGTACAAGCACAATAGACATAAGCTTGGATGATACTCTACTTAACAATCTTCTAATTGTGGATGGATGTATCATTATGCGATGAAGTAGCAATACATCCCTGCTGGGAATTCCTGCATCTCTTCTGACCCACAACAGACTACAGCCTTACATGAATGAGCCTTTTTGAAAAGACTCTGAGAAGTACATTAAGCTCAAGAACAAACAGTAACATAAAATTCAAGCTTACCTAGGTGATATTCAGAGGCTATACGCTCCTCGGAAAACTACAGTATAAAGGGATAGCATTGTACTTTTGCCATTCTCTTAGAGGACTTCAGATGGTTTTTAATTACGCTGCTTAAATACAAACTAATATATAAATTTTGCATTTTGTAACTCATCTAGGCCGTAAAATTACACAGCATATAAAGTTTATTTTTATAATCTTCTAAAATTAAAAAAAAAAAAATTACTTATCTCCAGAGTGAGTTAATAAGTCCAAAAGGGAGGAACTACTCTTCTGCGGTTTCTTGTCATTTTAAATAAATTCAGATCTTTTAAAAAAGATTACCCTGTGTTCCCTTTTCCTGCAGCGACTGTCCTCACAGTTCAGACAACCCTGAAAAAGCCTAGGCATGCACAGGCTCCACTCAAGCACTCTGTACACCCTCATGGGAGAGATCATAGCAAGGCAAAAGACATTAATAAGGCCAAGGATCAAATGGAAAATTCACTTCCATGAGAGAGTAGCGATATCATTGGTAGCAATTAACTTTGGAACTACAATGTGCACATTTGATGTTATTTACTTTAGTAATAAGAACAATGTAATTCAGTACGGAAAAAAAATTGTCCAATTTAGATGATAACATTAACAGGAAAAAAAAACAATTTGTAATGGTAGTGTATTTCACTTGTCTAACTTTCCTTGCAGAACAGCCTAAAGTAATAGTTACAATAGTAAGTTAGATGTTTTCTCTGAATTAAAATTCACTATGTTCATGAAAAGGAGTCTTCCTAGGCAACCAGGGAGTCGTTTACATAAAAAAAACACATGAAGTAACTGTGGCATATATCCTCCTTTAATAACAAGAATAACAATCTAGATCTTTCATTCTATATTTTCAACAAAATCAAATCTCTAAAAATTTAGCATATGTTACTAATTTTTGGTTGCCAAGGACAATAGGACTTCCAACCCCATGGTCCCGTGATACAGTATTTTGAAACTCAACACTACTTCCTAATTTGCTATAGAAAACTCTGATCATGTGAATTCAATTTCAGCTGTGCTCATTAACATTCTTTTAGTAGATTAATATTATTATTCAGTGCTTTTATATTATTTATAAAACTACTGCCATGCAGTGTTTATTCTCTAGTGTTTGTAATACAGCGTGGGGTAGTAGTTTCAGAGGGTTGGGGTTTTTTTGTTTAATATACACATTTCGTAACGTGTAGATATAGCAGCTCTTAAATATCAAGGATACAACTGAATAATTTTTTTTGGCTGGTTGGGCTTTTCTCAAACTAAATTAGGTTAATTTACCAACAAGACGCTGCCGATAGCGCATTAGCTTTGTCAGGCCAACAGAAGCTACTTTATGTCTGTACAGTAGTTTGTATTGCAGAAGAAAGCACAGTGTTATGTGCAATTACTGTAACTTGGTGATGTACTTTTCTGAATGAACATTTTAATACTCAAGCTCCTCCTGCTGGCACATCCTCAGCATTACATTAATGCCAACCCAATGGAAAATCACTTTTCCCTTCTGGAGAAAAAATATCATTAAAATGAAAAAAATGAAAAAGTGAAAAAGTGCAAAATAAGTTCCTCTAAAAGGATCAGATATTCATTTATACCAATCTGTCTTGACAGGAATAGTTGAGATAATAACATTCTTAGGATGAACACTGATGTGTGTAAAATAAAAAACAAAATTGCAAGTAATTCTTGCAACTTAAATGATACTACTTCCAAACTAGATTTATGAAATAGAGAATTACAGCTGATTTATCTTAAATGTATAAGCAATTTTTTTTTTTTTAATCACAGTGGAAATTCTAAGACAAATCATTATGTCATGTTAGATTTAAATAAAGCAGGTTATAACCAAGGAATTAGATCTTGATGCATTCAATACAGAAAGACAAACAGGAGCTTAAAATGAATTTCAGCTGTTGTTGGCCTGAAACATTTGCGTGGAAACAGGTTGGATGATGAAAAAAGGTTTGGAGTATTAAAAAAAAAAAGTCATACATTACTAAATATACATCTTAAGCCCCTTCTCTTCCACACTACTCCAAAAACTGATGCAAGAACTTGCCATTTAATTATTGCTTATTTCAGCTCTAGCTTTTTACTTTGAAATTAAGATGCTGAATTTCAAATAACACCAGCAAATTTAACTACTAAATTTGGGAGAAGAATGAACAACCACACCCCCAGAACCCATGGCAATAAACTAGGAAGTAAGGACTACTCTTCCATTTCTGTCTAATGTTAATGGATTTAACAATCTCTTTCTGGCCACCAGGTCAAATGATCAAGTCTCTGGCACTACGTGACACACCTTTTCAAACCAATGGACAGATAATCTGTGAGCTCTTGGGCAGAAGTATGAGCACATTAAAGTGATCCTGCCAGTACTTCTGGCAAATACAGATGAAGATGAAATTGAAATACTCGTTTTGAATTTATTTTTGCCAATCGCATTTGGAATTGAGGAGGAAGAAATAAGCATACCTGCATGCAATTCTTTTTGTTCTGTTACCTTCTTAACCACTGAAGTCCTAAAAGGGCTTAATTTTGTAGGCTGAGTCTAGCAGTCATGCCAGAACCTGTTTGCCATGCATGAACCTGTTCAGCCATAGAATAAGTACTAAAGGCTCAAGTTCTCTGCATTCTCACCTTATCTCAGTCTGAAGAAAAAACGCAACCAGCTGAGAATCAATTCCTTCTTCCCACCAGGTCATTGTTTAGAATTCAAGCATTCCTGATTGATCTGCCTCACATTTGTTTGAATACCAGTCCTGTTGCACTGATTTTGTCTAGGTGTCAAGTTCTGTCTGAGGTGCATCTATAGAAAATAGCTTAAAATTACTGCCTTTTTAATTAGCTTCTAGTTTCTTCAGACTTTTCATTGATGTCTTAATTATACATGTATCAAAATGTAAACCCAGCTTTCTGTGTTTTTCTTTACATGCATAGCACATGGAACAGCAGTATTCTCTTAAATGGCATCAGAAGCACTTACATAAAGAAATTTATTTTCCATCTCATTTTCAACTCTTTTGAATAATGGTAGAGAGAGAAGTTTCTTATAAAAATAAAGTAACACACATGGAATTGGAATTACTTCTGTACCAGTCTGAGATCAGAACAGAGTCTAGTAGTAATAAGCACATCCAGGGAGCCCAGTAAAGCTCAGGATCAAGCTGCTTATCTCACATGGAAATGCATCTCTGGAAACAGTAACAATTGTAGTAGTATTTGAAGCACCTCATGAAGAATGGCATTAGCAGGCAGATAAATCACATAACTTTCTGCTGACAGTTTCTTGTGGAATTCAAGTTTCTGTGCCGATACTATATTAAAGACATTCTAATTAATCAAATGAGAAATAATTCTGATCTGCCAGTACAACATATCTCAGCACCTTCTGCCAATTACAATCAGTTGTAACACCTGTTCAGTGACTAAGATTGTGACTTCAAATAATTTTGTATACTTTAGTAACACCTGCTAATCTGGTTAATACTTTTTTCCACATGCTGAAGCATAAAACAAATTGGAGGCACATTCTTGTCATCATTCCCAACTTTGCAGAAATTAAATTTAACTATTAATGAGAAACAGTGATCTACACTTATTAATACAAAAGACTGCGTTTGGAAGTTTAAATAGTCAGCTATTATCAGAAGAGATATAAAAACATGGGTAAAATTATTTCCCTGCATCACAACTTGATATTGAAATTTCTGAAGATATTACTACAACAAAAACGTCAGGTTAAATACTGAACAACAGCTCTGTTAAAGATTAGGTCTGGATTGACCAAGAAATTAAAAACATCAGTTCTAGTATTAGAAGGGAGCAAGATGATGGAGAATTTTATCTTGGAGCAGTTTCATTTTGCAAGCAGCAGGAGGAAAGACTTAAGACACACGTACAGCACATGCCTATGGTTCCCCTTGGCAATGTTACTGTACACGCCCAAAGAGCAACAGGCTATGCTGATACAATGAGAAGACTATGCTCTAGATGGGCGATATAACAACTTGACTGCAGTAATAAAATCTCTACATGAAGCACTTCTTCCTTTTAGACATACAGCTGCCCTGTGCCTTGAGAAACGTGGGCACAGGAATTTGTTGGAGTCACAGAATCACCAAGGTTAGAAGAGACCTACAAGACCATTCAGTCCAACCATCCACCAATCACCAGTAGTTCACTAATCCACGTCCCTCAACACAACATCTGAACATTCCTTGAACACCTCCAGGCTTAGTGACTCTACCATCTCCCTGGGCAGTCCATTCCAGCACCTGATCACTCTTTCAGAAAAGTAGTATTATTCCCATATAGTAATTCCCAGTCTGAATCTCCCCTGGTGCAACTTAAGGCCATTCCCTCTTATCCTGCCACTAGTTGCACAACAGAAGAGGCTGTCCCCAAGCTCACTAAAGCCTCCCTTCAGGTAGCTTTAG